ATTTTTCCAATTCCCCTCGTGATACAGATTTCTGGTGTTCTCGAAGCCTTACCTTAAGAGGGCGGCCTGTCCCCTCTTTATATTTCTTTCCGAAGCTGCACGGGATGACGTACACACAGTCTTTAGTCATCTTCTCCTCTATTAGGGAGAGATATTTGCGAAGTGTGGTCCAGCTTTTGTAGGTTGTCCTGATGTTATATGGACCGCAGATCCTTTGTATTTTCTCTGATAACCCTTTCACATAATATTAATTTTGTAATAAATATGGAGACAAAGATGAGTACAATAGTACGAATAATGTAAATAGAGTTTCGGTTTTATTGAATATTGTCCACGTATGTATTAGGAAATCAATTAAAGTTTACTTTTGTCAGTAGCGATGTGCCATTTAGGTATTTATTTGCAGATGCAAATTTTATTTTAGGAAAAATGTATTTTATTCAAGGAAACGGTATATGATTTCTTTTGTTGTTTTTGTCTACGCACACACATGCACACAAATATATACGAAGGTTATTCCGAGTGTAATTTTCTTTATATTATTCTTTACCAATACAAAAATCTAAAGATACTCAAGGTAGATTGTTGTCAAATGAAATTGTTGGCAGGGCGTCGAGGTAAGAAATATATATTATGAAGATATGTAGTATAGAAAACATTAGACTTGAAGAGTCTACTATTTTAGTGATCAGGGAGGCGTCTACTTGGGTTTATATCTCACGAAGTAACAGTTTTAGGGAAGAAGCTATCTGAGGGGAACATTCTCCCTATCAATGGAATACAAACGGATGATTCAAGCCTGTACAAACGGCATGGCGTGTCCTTGCTTTGAAATTCTGAACTGTTGTGAACCAAGGATTGTAACCCGTTCGAACATTGTCGATGAAAGTAGCGACAGATTAGGAGAGAGAAATTAGAATTGTTTCGTCTGTGAGAAAGGTGGAAAATAATTCATTATCCACAAGGCCGCTCAAACATTTCTGAACTCTATCACGTTGGGAAAGGGAGCTGTTTTGGTCTCGTGCATGACTCGTGCATTAGAGGGATCATATCCGGTAAGTTCTGGAAAGTTAGAAGGAATCCACCAGTTTGCCAGTATCTTTAGCGTTGGGCCGGAAATACGAGTTCTTCTTAAGTTTGAGAGTGAGCTTACGTTCCAACAGATCTCGAAGGCAAGAAGCGTCATTGAGAGTAAAAATGTTCATTGGGACTGGAGAAATACTATATGCATTTGTTTAGGACGTGCTAGTCAATTGTTGGTTGATTTTAGGACGTCAAAAGAACAAACTATTAATACCCTCGCTAATATTTACTCCACACCGATGCTTTTCTTCTGTGTTGAGAGTTCTTGATTTTTGCATTAATGCTTGAAAATTTCTGCCAGCAAAGGATAATTTTCTGCCTTGTTATAACTCTGCGTTAATTTGGCAAAATATTGTCCGATATTAAATTGAATACGAATCACAGGTATGCCATTGAATTCTACTATGTATAAAATTGTATCCACCGATGTTCATTGATGGATGCTTATGGAAGGAAACAATGGATGTGAGCACAATTAATTGACGCAGAGATAGTTGTGTGTGTGTAAAAGAGCACGTTCCATTCAGCTTTTCCCAACCGCCAATAGTATGAATAGTGTCTGGATCGCCTCATCCGAACTGAATATTGGCTTCAAATACATGCCAAATATGTCATCAAGGTTGAGACATAACAAAGTCTGTCCCAGAAGGATGCCATGGATGAATGCATAAAACAAAAAGACCATCGAATGCAGGTCTCTCAGGAACTGGTGAAACATTAGGAGGCTGGATGTGGCAGTTTCCTTGACTACATGAACATTGGTGTGAGATTTTTCATCTAATGATAACTTATAGAGATGAGGATATGTGAATTCAATACCACAGAATAATTGCGGATCAAGTAAAATTAAACAAAAAAAAAATCCATGACCATCTTGAATTTCTTGGAACATGGCCAAACTATCTAAACAGTGCATTACATCGCGACGCTCAGTAGAAGTCACGAACAGATACCCCAAAAGAAGACAACCATTCACCTGCAAAACGATATCACCTGACCCTCTGCTTAATGAACATGGAGAATTTCATCTCTTCTAAGCGATGAAAGATGGACTAGAGGGGTAACATTTTTACTGGCAACGGTGCATTGTTTGGTGCTCAGAAAAGACGTGACTCGCCTGAACAGGCACAGTTTTAACGAGTGCAGACTATGCGAAAAAATTAGTGGTTTGTAGCTGAAAAGGGTTGTAAACAAACATTTCAATGGGTATCCCTTGTAACTGTTGTAATCTGGTTCCTGTCTTAATTGGCTATATATATATATTATAGTGTCCATGGAATTGAATAGGAGATATTACACACACACACACACACACACACACACACACACACACACACACACACACACATATATATATATATATATATATATATATATATATATATATATATATATAGATAGATAGATAGATAGATAGATAGATATATATATGTATATATCAAACAACTGTTGCTTGGTGGGGCAAGAGGTTGTCATAAACATTATAATCTCGACCTCTTTAAGTCTAAACATAACCGTTGCCTTTTCTACAAAACCACATGAACTTCACATCTTGCATCTTACACTCATAGAACACAACACAGTAACCGTCTACTTTGAGTGGCTCTTGGTCCTTGCATTGATCGCAAATCAGTATTATATATGCGTGTATATATATATATATATATATATATATATATATATATATGTGTGTGTGTGTGTGTGTGTGTGTGTTTTTGCGTTTTTGTTTTTGACTACATAGGAAATGGTATGGACTAGGTGAAACAAAAATAGTATTTTGTCCTAGAAAATTTAATTCTATCTGTTATTTTACATCTTTTATCTTTTAATTCTGTGGAAGTCAGTAGGAGATTTATTTTGTGTGCTACACACACACATGCACACACACACACACACACACACACACACACACACACACACATATATATATATATATATATATATATATATATATATATATATATATATATATATATATATATATCAAGTATGTACGTATATTTAAGAGATAAAATGTCGGAGGATGTTATTAAGTCTGGTAAAAATAGCGGAACAAATTTCTTTGACAGACTACCCACACGAGAATTCAAAATTACTTAACTTTATTTATTCCGCATATCAGAAAAAGAGAATTAATAAAGTGTGTATTTATTCTGCTTAACTTAATTTTGAAGCCGTAGCCACAATATTAAATCAAAAACTTATGATCGATCTTACTGTGTGATCAGTTTGAAAATTTAGGCGAGGCACTCAAAGAAAATCAATAAGAGGTGGGGAGTAGTGTGGCTGATAGTAACTCAGTTCTACAAAATATCATTGATAGAAATAATACTAGTGTTCGTATTAGTCTTCTGTTAGTACTGAGAGGTAGTTGAATGCTGCCCTATTTTATTTCCTTAATATGCGGCAAGTCAAATTTTAGTAAAAGTCAAGTTGCTTTTTAAACATCTCATTAAAATAATTAAAAGTATTTTCTGCTTTTAGTTATAATTGCGTCAATTACAAGCACATTTATTATTTGAAGGTTGTGGAAGTTACCCATAGTAGAGGGTACGATATAAATACATCCCACATATACCTACCAGAAAAACTTCCCACATAATGGTAAGACATTAGCTAGATGATGACACCGTTGTCACTAATGCCTTACCATTATGTGGGTGGAATTTCTTGGAGGTATTTCTTTCTCAACCTGTACTAATGGAGTAAATTTACTATAGTTTTCCAATTTTCGGAGGCGCCTTTTTAGTCGCATAATTATTCTATAAAATGCAAGGTTATAATTTTATTCGTTACTTCTCTAGATAATTTGTAAGTTTCCATAAATATAGTTATCTTATTTTGCGCTTATGGCCAAATATGATAACCAAAAATAATTCTTTTAAATATTGGCATTTTAATATTATTTTTTTTCAAAAGAAACTTTGGCTTTTTTATTTACTCTATAAAGAACTTAAAGAAGTTACAAATCAATATATCACCAAAAAATCAAGAACTAAAACATATATGTACAATATTTTAAATATCTAAATTATTTTAAATGGGATTTTTGAAACTAATGCTGTAACAATGCCCCACAATACTAATGGACGGCATCCTCGGTAAGATGCTAAACAGAATCCAACAGCAAGTCTTTTAATCAGGAGGTTTTGAGGATTATGAAATCACCTCTAATTTGTTGGTGTTCCCGGGGTCAAAGTATTATGAAAGTGTAAAAATAGGTTTAAATACCAGCAATACGTTTACGTAAAAAATTAATACCTGCTGGAAAAGTTTTGAAAAAATAGATATTACCAGCAATACTTTTTTGAAAAAAATTTACCAGCAATACACTTTTGGAAGAAGATATTACCAGCAATACATTTTTGAAAAAATATTGCCAGCAATAAAAATCTTTTCGGCATTAAATAACCCATTGAGATTGATATACTGTAAAACAAACCAAACCAAACCAAACCAAACTAACAAACGGTTAAATATAACCCATACAAAAAAAAAAAAACAAAAAAAAAACGTTCATATTTTTACCAAGTTTTATTGTATAACTTTCATCTTTTATGTTGTTGATTTTGCTGGTAATTTTATTTTTGACTGTTTTCAACTGTTACATTCATCGGCTTTAAATTACAGTATTTCGCAATAAAATATAATAAAGTCGATTCGCATCTTATAACCCAATTACTTTCTCGAAACTTTAGCTAGAACTTCATATAAAATATAAATACATGAAAAGGAAGGAAAATATTTAATCTCAAATAACGCAATCTATTCGCATTAAATCATTTCACGCAAATTTTGATATACCCCGAGTATACTGAACTCTATATTTTTGTATTAAAAAAAAAACACCAAAAAAAACCCCCCAAAAAAACCCCAACTTTTTCCTCAAGGGAAAACTTGTGCCGTCGAAACTTTTGATGATATTTTCGAATCGCAAGCCAAAAGGAACCGTAATCAAGAGTTATTTAAAAGGTTTTCCTTATTTCTTTTTTTTTTTAATTTTCCTTTACTTTTAAAATTCTTTCTTTACTTATTTTTATTTATATTACAAACTTTCCCTAACAATTTGTCCTCAATTACACTCACAACCTCAACTTTCTTCGAGCAAGTACATTTTAAATCGTCTCCTTCTTTTTATGACTTTCCAATTGGCTACTTGATGTCAAGAGTTTCCTGGTCTTGAAAGCGCAACCAACCATTGTGCCCTAAGCCTCCTGCCCGACAAGTCTTCACGCTCCACCCACTTTCTATAATTAGTCTTCTCCTTATTACTTTTCAGCACTTGGCCAAGGGGGACTATCTCTACACGCCTTCCATTCCCCAGTGAAACTTTTTATTACCTACCGCGTTTATCGTCTCCCTACCCTCACATCCATCCTTTTACATGCTTAAATTTGTCCACCTCCTCTTTTCCTTTTCTTCTTTTTCGTTTTCTACAACTTCTTTACTGGATTTAATATATCTTTTACACTTCTTCTTTATGTGACCGTCTATTAGATTTTATTTTCTCTAATATTCTATGGTTTCATTCCAGTCTATCTATCTATCTATCTATCTATCTATCTATCTATCTATCTATCTATCTATCTATCTATCTATCTGACTGACAGTATGAAATTGAATGAAAAAATGGAATACATCCAACGTAACGCGTTTCGTCATTTGAAAGAAATTCTTCAGATGAATAAATGGTTTTATTGATGGAATCACATATAATAATATAATCAAGGATAAGAAACGCAATGAATGTTTGTTACATCATGAGGAACACTGAAGATGCAGGGACGCTTAACATTATCTTTTTCATTTTTTCATTCCATTAGTCTGATATATAGAATCTATCTATCTATATCTGAATAAATAAATACATACGTAAGAAATCCAACAGTATTTTTTTAAAGTTGCCACTGCATCATTTATTCGGAAATATTTAATTTCAATTTTTGTTTTATTTCTGTAGCCTATCTTTCTTACGTACCGATTTATCAAGTGTGGCCTTTTTCTTTTCTTCTTCTTTTTTTTAATTTTTTTTTTTTAGATATTTTTACTTTTTATGAATATTCTTCTTTTCCTATTTGTTCTCCTTTTTTTGTCCTTACTCCACCAAACCTACACAACTTCAATCCCATTCCGGTTGGTTAGGACTTCAATCAGAGTGGGACCCGAGGTTACCGGGTCGATGGTTGGCCCCAACATTTAAAAGGTGGTTTCATATTCCACCTCGTAAATCTAGCCGTCATGTCCAAAGGCACCATATTCCCACTGTGTCTTATATCCAAACCTGAGGATATAGACAGATAGAGACTTTCACTCAGTTTGGGAGGAAACGAAGTGGGAATCGTGAGTAGCGAGAGGGAAAGACGAGTGACAAAATGGAATAATCATGAAAGAAGAGGAGGGGGGTAAGAGAGAAGAAAAGGTTTTAGGAAGTAACAAAGACGACATGGCAATGAAATTAAAATAAGCATACATTTTTATGTGTGGACACACTGGTGAATGGGGAGCTTGTATTTTTGAATGTATATTTATGGACAAATACCGCTCCAATACACTCACACACACACACACACACACACACACATATATATATATATATAGTGATGGTTTTACATACATATACACACAAATACACACACACACACACACACACACACGTGTGTGTGTGTGTGTGTGTGTGTGTGTGTGTGTGTGTGTGTGTGTGTGTGTGTGTGTGTGTGTGTGTGTGTATGTATATTGGAAAGTAAGGGAAATAGAGCATTCAAAATGCCCCTACTGTGTGAATGTTTGCCGTTTTTCACAGATTTGCTGGCTCACACACATGTGTGTTTGTATGGATACAAATTTAAGTATTACTGTTGCTAAAATCTTGTGAGATTTTATTATGCAAGTCAATCCTTTTATTTTATAATTGGTATTAGCAAAATTTTTGGGCCAAAATTTAGATTAAACCTGTATTTATAATGACCAAAATATCTTGAGACTGTCAGGAGAAAACATCTATACTAAATAACAATATATTTTTGCGTTTCAGGTTTTATCATGCAAACAATCGAAGTACAGCATATTCTTTCTTATTTATAAATTAATCCAAAAGCCAGATAGCAAAAGTTATATACAGAAATATATAAATAATTAAAACAATATTCTAAATACCTTAATATTTTTTTTTATATATCGCATCTTTATATGGGAGTCTAGTCATTATATGAACCACATTAGTCATTTTACATAGATTCTTTTGCCTTTTCTATTCTTTTCATTTTAACATTAATTGCACTATTTTGTAATTACTTTATAGAAAGCATTTTTATTTGATATTTGGCTATATTTCTGAGATGAGGTATTATGTACACTATTTACATTGTTCGAACTATCGTCCTCATCCTTGTTGCCATATTTATCACAATGTTTCGACCGTTGTACGTTCCAGCCTTCTTCAGGTGTTTGGAACGTCGAACTGAACACTTTATTTCGCTCACTGTGTACATAAAGCCTCTTATAAGAAATATTATATTATTATATATTATATAATTATTTATTATTATATTATATATTTATTATATAATTATATTTACTATTATCTACATTGAGATTGAAGTTCTCCTTTTTATGCTGTTATTACAATGTTTCAACCATTGTTCTTTCCCACTTGTTATTCACGTAGTTGTCGATCAAATTATCTCCCAAGAAATTTCGAACATAATACTTTATTTAATTTATGGTGGCAGATAATTCATCTGTATCTGTCTATATTTCTGAGATGCGGTATTATATACACTATTTACATTGTTCGGAATATCATCCTCATCTTTGTTGGCATATTTATCAGAACGTTTCGTCCGTTGTACACTCCGGCTTTCTTCAGGTGGTTGGAATGTCTAACTGAACCCTTTATTTCGTTCACTGGGGTAGACTGTTCTAGTTCCACGTGCCATGTCTGATGTCAGTTATCAGTTATCTCCTGTTAATTCTCCGCCCCAAGTTCTCCACCGCCTTAACCAGGTATAGAACTCTCACTCTTTGGGTCCTGTCATTGGATCTAACTAACGCCTTTATCCTTGAGGACACATGGCACAGTTGATTTTTATTTCATTATTTTTTTCCATTCTTACTCATTTCTTTCTTAAGGATATGTCATATTTTTATTATAATATAACCAAGAGGGGCTCGGATTCAGTCGATTAATTTGTAGTCTTTCATACCAAACTTGGCATGATAAGTAATAATCTACTTTGCAGAATCTTAAGTAGCAATGCATTTAGCTTAATTCTTGTTGCTTCTGAGCTGTACCAATGAAATATGTATTGTTCTAAAACTGACGAAGATTCGCAGTATTTTTCTTGTTAACATCATTTGCACGGCTTATCATTTTCATTGCCTACAGTACGAAATCCGAACATTACTCAACATCTCTCCTATTCTCCTCCAGGTCCTGTTGATTGAATCTTTCCATGAGATGCAGCCCATCCATTAGTTCCAGCCATTCATCTCTAGACATTACTATCGAGATACCAGTTTTCATAAACTTCTGTCTCCAATTTACACATCCCTCTCTGCGATATTTGCTTAAAGATAATACTTTGGTTGCTTTCATGACTTTAGATAATGTTTCTATTATCTCGTTTCATTTCATGGCCTGAAGATTGCGTTCCAGCATGAAACAGACGGACGCCACTCGGTGTTAACCTCAGTGTCCACTTTTGTGTTAACATACGCTCTATCTCTGATATTGAGCACTTTTACCCATAATTATAACATATCTTAAAATTATATTTTTATCATATTACCTCTTGATAAACTGAACGCTTTTGCTATATTTATAAACTATCATGGACATTGCGAAAGATCTAAGCACGGCTCATTTTTAAAGAACATAACCAGACCACCAGCATCCGACTACAAACTGAAATTAATATATATATATATATATATATATATATATATATATATATATATATATATATATATATTTAGTTTATGCAAAACTAGGTAATCTGCATGGGTAGACCCAAGGAGGAAGATATCTGGAGTGCTCAATGTAAAATTCAGAGCCGATAAGTTTGAATAAAAACAGACTACTTTAAGGTTCCATGTAATAAGTTATTTCACCACAACCCCTTTAACAGGGCTCTAAAGTGGTCTGTTTTTATTCAAAAACTGAATCAGGTCACAACAGCAAGAGGGATCATCATTTGACCTTGGATCGAAATTCTTTTTGTTCAAAGTAGAGTTCAATGCTGTTATAAAAAAAAACCTGTGAGAATTCCAGTAATATATATTTAATCATTTCTAAGATACTACGGTTCAAAGCTTAATCTAACAATTGGAAAATATTGGTGTTACACGATTTGGAGAATTTTGGTGTTGCAACTGGCACACACACACAAATATATATATATATATATATATATATGTGTGTGTGTGTGTGTGTGTGTGTGTGTGTGTGTGTGTGTGTGTGTGTGTGTGTGTGCGCGTGTGTGAAAAGGCTTGAACTGGATTAATATAAATGATTTTATCAGCCGAAATTCACCGAATAAACACATGGTATATATATATAAATATATCCTGAAAGTCTCCCCAACGTTTTGTTAACACCCTATTTTATTGAGAAAATATTGGTTAAACTAATGAAACTTGACAAAATGTGTCTGTTCATGTACTTATATATGCCCAAATAGAAAGAAGTGAGAGTAAATAATTTTGTTCGAAATAATTTGGATTTTCTAAACATTTCAGATTGAAATTGGGATAAGGACAACTTCAGTTATATTTCAGTTGATCTACCAACTTTGCTCAAATCTATAAATCTGAAACTGAAGCAAATGAAGGAGATGAAACTAAAACAGTGTTCATAATCACCCAAAATACAATAGTCATAGATTGGATGAATAAGCAATTCGATGAGAAGCTGGGATGATACAAAACTCGGGAATAATACAGACAACGATACGAGAGATTTGAGTTGCCTTCTTGTCAATCAATCCCCAGATATGTGTTGTTGACATGCAAATGATATACTGGGTGCGATATGTAAATTGTCTCCATTTTTAATTTTAATTTCCCGGATGCACATTGTTTGCTTTTAATTTTGTCGACTGAACAATATGATAGGGTTACTTGTGCACCATCTGTGAGAAATAGAGCACCATGATGCAATTCACTCTGTCAGAAATTTGGAAACGCCATGCTGTACTGCTTGGAATTTGAACCAAAACCCCAATATGAAACTATCTGAGTGGTTAGGTGTCAATCTGAGGTCTGTGCAGAGTATTCGGAATGAGTTGGACGTGTCTAATGGTGATTATGTAGGTGTTTGGTGTGATCACCATTGATGGCGACGTTATGCCATCATTCATCTTCCCACAGGGTCTCAGACTGAACATGGAGGCCTACATCAAGTTCTTTCAGGAGGTAGTGCTGCCCTGGGTCAAGAACGCCCTATATCTGGTAACAGGACTCTGTATCATACCCCGCAATCAGGTGAACCCAATCATCGCTGTCAGACAATTTCTGCGACCACATCACCCCTGGCCATTTAACTGCCCAGGCTGAAAACACTTTGGATTATTATGAATAGAGCGTAATTGAGTGAGTGAGAAATAATACTTCTTTTAACAACAAAGATGAACTGAAAACAAGGATTTTGTCTGCGTTCATCAACGTAAACAAGAAGTCCGTTCAGAAGAGCTGCAGTAAGTTCCGAAGTCGTCTGGGGGCTGTGGCTGAAGACAATAGCGAATTTATTGTATAAATTTAATCTTTAATATTTCAAGATATTTTTTGTGTGTAATTTTGGTAAATATACCTGAGAAAAGGAGATGTCTGTATTACTTTCATATTAACGTCATTTAGACGACAATTTATCCATCGCACTCTGTAAATGAAACCACAAACTCGACAAAATCCACATTAAATGTCTTTGTTTACGTTATGCAACAAAACAGAGCAGATGGATGTTTCGAGAATCGGCTGATAATGTGAGTTCAAAAGTACTATTTAGGGCTGTATTTAACCTGAAGTCCTACGTGACCGAATCGGCATATCTAATGACGGTTCCCCATAGGGAATGCACCTTCGAATCCTGACGGAAGACGCATATTTTATGGCAAGATTTAACGAATATTCAGTCCAGTAAGTTTAATTAGATAAAAATACTGTTTAATTAAATAAACAGGGCATTTACACGAATGTGAGTATTCGTCTAAAAATAACGTTTAAGCAAAACAAATTATATATATATATATATATATATATATATATATATATATATATATATATATATATATATATATATATATGTGTGTGTGTGTGTGTGTGTGTGTGTGTGTGTGTGTCTGTGTGTGTGTGAAGAAATATCGTTTAGAGATGTGCTCAATTTATGGGATAAAGTGCACAATATCAGAGATAGAACGTATGTATATATAAATATAAAAGTGAACGTTGAAGTCAGCACTCAGAAGCAAAAGGCTGTTTCATGCTGGACGCAATCTTCAGGCCGTAATATATATATATATATATATATATATATATATATATATATATATATATATATAACAGTACATATATGTGTGTGCGTGTGTATGTACTACTGAAAACCTTAGTTTTAGTGGATACTCATATATGAAACAGACATACCGTTTTTTTGTTTTTTTTAAACAGTGTGTATTACGTTTGTCTGCTTGTGCACTCAAGAAATCCTAATAAATAAAATGTGCACTTCGGCGTCAATTTAAAACACACTTAATATTTATCCTTTACTGAAAAATTTCCCCTAAATTCGTTAGCTTGCAGAAGTACAATGATCTAGCGTTTGTTTTTTGTTTAGCAAAATACAATATTTATTACTCACATTCACAAACACGCGCATGTGTGTGTGTGTGAATTATGTAAAGTTTTTATATGCCGATCAGTTTCACCATAATAGAATCGATATTTGTCAAAAAACTTTGGTAATGTTTGAATATATACTTATATAAGTTTATAATATCGGTCTTTATTAGAAATAAGGATAATACTATTTTTTGTTGATGCCAGGTTTCATTATATATGCTTAATGAGACACAGATGAATATAGAAATTCAAAATATACCTAATTAATGCAACGGCCCACATATCGAATAATAAGTTGTAACTTAATTATTTATTAATATATATATATATATATATATATATATATATATATATATATATATATATATATATATATATATATATATATATATATATAATATATATATAAGTATTACTTAGCAGTTAATATGTATTCTTTGGTATTTTTATGGTTTTTTCTATTAGTCTTTTATTTACTTAATACTTTTGTTTCGACTTTTGTAGATGTTTTATTATTTTCAGTGCTATTCTTTGTCGGAATATTTCCATTCTTATATGCATCTCTTTAAAACAAACCGTTAAATTATACTAATATTATACTAGTATTTAATATTAATATTAATTAATAATAATTATACTAATACTAATAATGATACTAATAATGTATTAATATATGTAAAGATTGGGTTCCATTCTATGATTTTATTTTCTTTGAAATCTTTTCTTAAAAAATGTATGTTATGATCAGGTTTGCAGATCAGGGAAGAGCATTTTCTACAGGAATATGCTCGAGCTTAAAGCTTCTTGGTTGTGACTTGAATTCAGAAAACGTCTTGACCAAAAGTTAGTGTACTTCACTGCATTTAACTTGTCTCCGTCCAAGAATACGAACTGAATTTTAATTTTACTGCCTATAATACGAAACTAAATTATTAATCCACGTCCACAAGTAGAATTGTAATTCTGGTGTAAATATTGTAACTATTTCCTTAAATGCTACGACGTCAAGCCCAGAAATTACGTTTATCCTAATCACTAAATATTATTGTTGAGAAATCAGTTCTCAGTTGTTTCTCCATTCCTTAATTTTCTTGGTATTTATTTAAAGAATTTAATTCGCTTGCTTCATGTATTTATCAAACATCTTAATTTTCCTTTTAGAATTGTAACAGCTAATTCGTAAAAGTTTTTCAGAAATATACTTCTTTTCACGATACATTTCACGATACTTGTCTATAATTTTTATCTGTACTATTTAAATTATATTTTATCTGGACTATTTCATCAATTCTTTCGTTTTATCTTTTCTGTGATCGCACTTTTCCAAGTATTTTTTCTCTAACACCTTGTAACTTTACAATATCAGATTTCTCTTTCGTGCTTATATATATATATATATATATATATATATATATATATAAACGAAAAATGAAAATAGATATGCATCTATACCTATACGATTAAATATATTTATTTGCAAGACGAAGAACAATTTTCAAATACTATGTAAACCAGGTTACGCCAAAAAAGTGTTTATAGTGATCATCACTTTTGATTGCATTGGCAAAAGAGTGTTTTGCGTTAACTTTTCATTTAGTAATTTTAATTTCGTTCATGACATCCTAATTAAGAACTAATCAAATTAATTGCTATGTAATCATTAATTAAATGTAAATGTAATATGGCCGTTTAATATTAATACTAATATAATTAGGCATTATTATTAAATCTTTGATTACATTGGATGAAATAACGGAAAGCCTATCAGATTTCTCAATTGAAGGGATACTGATTAACGCGCTTTGTGATGTCCTTGATTAGTTTTCAAAATGTAATTGATTAATTTTCTCATAATAATTAAAAGCTAATGTTAATTTCATTTCTGTGTAAATTATATTTTTCGCCTTATTAAATTGTGTTCTGTTAAAATTGCACATTTAAATTTTCTATATGCTGAAGATTTTTAATGCAGGTTAATATCAATGTATAAATCTATCTATCTATCTATCTTGACAATTTAATTGTTTTATTTCCGAGCCTCAAAATATTGACCGAAATACATTTCGTTGATATTGTTCATAATAAAGAAGGAATAAAGAAGGAAGAAATAAAAAAAAACAAAGTAAGAAAGCATGTAAAAAAGAATGAAATAAAATTAAAGTGGCTAGTCGGGTTGCGTAGATCTGAGGCATTTCAAGCTCGTGACATACATAATAGGCAATGTATTTCTTGCTTTAATTGTAGAAATGATCTTTTAGATATCTCTAATGATTTTTATTCAAATAACACCTTTCTATTTCAACTTATTGTTTTTAAATTCCAATTATGAATAATATTATTCCGTACAGTATAAGTGTTTAGCAGAATGTATCATTTGGAAAGGGGCAAATTAAATTTAGCAAGACTTAAAGTCGGCGAAAATCAAACAAAGTGGCAGCATTAACTCGTCAACTGGCGAAGGGGGAAGAGTGTGTCTGGGGTAGTGTTGAGGAAATATGATATCAGTTAGTACTACTGATCATAAACAAGCAATAACATTCAAAGACAAAGAGAAATACAAAAACACAGACAGAGCGATACATAAGCACACTTACGCATAGACATATATATATAATCATACTCAACATAGATACAGACGTTTTACATGTCAGGAAAAAATAAAAATAAAAGTTTAATTTGAGAGAAATATTACAATTAATATTAAATAACTTTTTTTTTTTAAATTTCATCCACAGTGATTTAAAAAAAAAAAAAAATATTCCTTAGAGTAAAGGAATCATTTTAGCATCTAAGTTATACCAACTGAATAATTTGTTAAAGATTGTAATGAGCCCGACAAACACAGATGATATTGAGTCACTACTATGTCATTCATATCTATCTATCTATCTATCTATCTATCTATCTATCTATCTATCTAACCCAGTCCATTAATATCTATTTATCTGTTTGTGTATTCATGTGTCTGCATTATGCATTCGTATGACTGCATAGATTTTACACACACAGTCTACACTTCGAAATACGCAAAATTATTATCTTTTAATATCAGCAAATATATTTAATTTTCATTTAATTATTTTAAATATTGAAATTTTAAAATCAAACCCACCATCATACATGGAAACAAGTTATTTAATTATATATTTAAAAATATGCATTGACACTGGCACATGTAGGTATGTGTATATGCACACATATATCTATTCAGTAAAAGATATTTAAAGGAAAGGATTACATTAGCTATATTTAACTGTGTACAGAGGCACGCAGACATACGCATGAACACGCAAAAACAAATCTATTTCTAAAGAATGATTTTTTAAATTTAAAACTTGCTTCTTTTTAGTAAGTGCATTATATATATATATATATATATATATATATATATATATATATATATATATATATCTTCAATTGTCCAACTTCAATTCATTTTCATTGAGTTATGTCCGAAAACAATTATTTTTTAATAATTTTTCTAATTATTAGTCTTGTATTTTCTATAATGTTCTAATAATATACATCTATCTATCTATCTATCTATCTATCTATCTATCTATCTATTATTATTATTATTATTATTATTATTATTATTTCTTTATCAAATTTCTTTCATTGGCTTACATTCTGACAGAAGCATACGTAGACACACTTTATTTATTTAGTACACACACACATATGCGTGTGTATATATGTATGTAGGTAGAGGGTATGTGCCTGTACGTGTGTGCCGATATGGGAGTCAGTAAGTTCGATAAGTATTTTACATATGAAATAAACAGTTATTTTTTAACAAAAACTCTTTATATTTCTTTTCATCTGTGAATATTATTCACCTGACAGTTAAATTTTCAAATCTAAATTCAACTAGTAATTACGTATATTGAATTAATGAATCTTGTCTTAACCAGTGTTTGATTCAATCACTTATTAGCCAAGCATATATTGCTCTCAATCGTCATATACTTTGTCCTTGATTTTTTTTATTGTTTCATTTTTCTTAGAAACGGAGTGTCCTTTTATTAGAGAGTTCAGCAGCACCATTGTCTTTTGTTTTCTTTTCAAAAGCCTGTTAATTACTATATTATATAATCCTTATTTACACTCATAACCATATAATTACTTTAGCGTAATTAGTGCACAGAATGCTAAAAATACACCCAACTTCGCAAGGATAGAATAAAAATAAAGGCTAAATAGAAAAAAATGTTGTTGTAAAAACCTTGTTTTTAGTCAACGCTATTCTTTACATCTGCTGATAAGCGAAGCATGCAATATGCATATTGCGTGAGTCTTTGATCTTTATAGAAAAGGATTTAAAATATTGGAGGACAAAGGGAAAACTCAACTGTAGAGGCCAGGGTATTTGCACCCATACAGGCACGCAAGAATATCTTCGCCGAAGCGAAAATGCCTCTATGCATGCAGACAGTAAGTCTGTTACTATTCTTGTGCAATAAATAATATTCGTTTCAGATTAAGGCAACAAACCGTCTCATATACATTATTCATTAAAAATAACTAACAATATACTTCACTTAATGATTTCTTGTGTTTTTCTTGTATGCAAATAAATATTCTTTCTCATTAAGCGGATATAAAATAGATCTTATGGTTGTTGGTTTTTTTTCGAATGTTCTAGGCTAAAATCTTAAATATTTTCAAGGATTTTAATTGGGCAATAGGAAATGGCGCTTAAGTTGCTGGGACGAAGATATAAGCCATAATCACTTAGAAAAGTGAAGATAGATAGATAGATAATGAACAGATTGAGATAGATAGATAGATAGATAGATAGATAGATAGATAGATAGATAGATAAGAATCAGGAAGATGTAGATAGATAGATAGATAGATAGATAAGAGCCAGGAAGACGTAGATAGATAGATAGATAGATAGATAGATAGATAGATAGATAGAATGATCTAAGAATCCCTGTCACACAGAGATATTTTAGTAAAAACATTTCGTTTTAGTCACCTTCGACAGATAGATAAATAGATAGATAAATAGATAGATTTGAATAAGTTGACATAGATAGATAGATAGATAGATAGATAGATAGATAGATAGATAGATAGATATTATATTCTGCTTGGGTAGACTAAATTCTTTACCTATCTATCGATCTATCTATCTCGATGTTCGTCTTAATCGACAACTGGAATAAAATTTAAAACCAAAGTAAATGTTATTGCTTGAAACTTAATATATCTTAAGACAGAATAGATGAATAGATAAAGAACATACTGAAATAGATAGATAAAAAGATAGATAGATAAAGAACATACTGATATATATATATATATATATATATATATATATATATATATATATATATATATATATATATATATATATATATATATATATATATATATATGAAGAAAGAAAAGAAGACCACGATATATATAATAGATAGATAGGCAGGAAGATTAATCTGCTTGGGTGGGTTGTATATATTCTTATTTATCATCAGCGAATAATGAGAAGTCCGGACACCTCGACGTGGTTCAATGGTTAATTTTTTAGCTAGAAAAATTGCCACTGACGAGTGGGTTCAATCCTCACTGGCTGCTCCATACTTTAGGCCTAGCGTCACATATAAGCTACGCTAAGATATTCATCACATGAGGAAGTCCTATGAAAATATTTATTGGCCAGGCAAACATATATATATATATATATATATATATATATATATAAACACTAACGGTATCTATGAAAAAAATCGATTGTTAGACAAAAACATTTATGGTATTGTAGATAAATACATGTTACAAAATCTTTGCTTTTGCCTTAATAAAAAAAGCATAGGAGGACGAAAAACGTATAAGTTTTCCTATTATCTTTATTCATATATATGTGTGTGTGTGCATGTGTTTGTGTTTATATATATATATATATATATATATATATATATATATATATATATATATATACATTTCATTGAAAACGACAGACAAGGTTCTTTTATTTTTATATACAATGCGATCTAATAATTTTTTTTCTTTACGGATGATAAATTATATAAAAACTGTCCGAATGTTCTTTTTATCCACTCGCTTTCGGCTATATATTTAGCCATTTTCAAGGATTATATTTTAACAATATCTTGACCATGTTTTGAAAAATTAAAACATTTTATAAAACATACTTACAACAAAATATTTCTTATTTTACCATTTAAAATATAATCCTTATATTTCCAATGTACCCTCTTTTTGTATGAATTGTATACAAATTATATTAAACGAAATAACAATTAAATATAAAATAAATATCATTATTTTAATCTATTAAAATACCTGACTAATTTTGTATTTTTCATATAATTTTAGGTCCTCACCGGAAAAGAGGCCGACAGACTTACACCCGCTATCAAACATTAGAGCTGGAAAAAGAATTCCATTTCAACCGTTACTTGACACGGAGACGCCGAATCGAGATTGCGCATGCGCTGTGTCTAACTGAGAGACAGATCAAAATATGGTTCCAAAACCGGCGCATGAAATGGAAGAAAGAAAATAAGGCAGAAGTGCCAGTAACAGAAAACAGCAAGCCGCAACCATAAAATGAAAAAGAAAAGGGAAAATTTGGCTCCAAAATGGGGTTCACTTTTGTCATAAGCAGATGACAGCGTTAAAAAATAAAAGTAAAGTAAAAAGACAAAAACAATTCTAATGAATAAAATTAAAAAAGCCTGTGAAAATTTGATAAAAAAATTATGCTTATTTAATATTGAAAAATAACAAAAAATATTAAACCGAAGACAGTCTAAAAAAGAAATGAAGTTTCGAGAAAGAATGAACACATGAAAGAAAAAAACAAAAACAAAAAAGAACAGAAAAATGGTTTTAAAAAAACGCCATTGTTGAAGAAATAATATAAAGAAATACAGAAAATTAAAAGGATAATTTCACGTGAAAAAAAAAAGATATTAAATAGGTTTATTGACGATATGGAGAAACAATGTCGAAAAATTTTAAGAAAAGTAGCCACTATAGACTTAAATTTCCTTCCAAATAAAAATGAACGAAAAAAGACAAAAATAGTAAAGAAAACATTAAGCTCAATACATCTGAAGGAAATGAAATTAAAAAGAAAAAATATGGAACTAAAAGAATGGAAAAAAATTTGGAAAGAAAATGATGAAAATATTCCAAGAAAACCGCAAATAATAAATGATTAAAGCATTCATACGTACAAATATTTACATACATAATATATTTATATGCTTGCGTCATATATATATATATATATATATATATATATATATATATATATATATATATATATATATATAGGTTAAGGATTTTATGTAGTACATGTATGACTATATGACTATGTTCATATAAGTATGAAAGAAATATTTTTACGATGTTACTGTCGTAATATTTGAATCTAGATAGATATACATGCATATAACTTTACAACACATTTCATTTACAACACATACAACTATACATGTATACACACATATATCAACATACACGTATACAAACACACACAGATTTCTTTAACAAAAAAGTCAACCTCATGAAAACTATGCCGAACGTTTTATGACACTAAGATAACTTATTCTAAGACTATCCCATGGGCGATGTCGTCAGTGTTTTCATTTTACTTCATCTGCCAATGAAGTAAATTTAGTGGGACATTTTGAAAAAAAAAAATCACGAAAAACAAAAAAATTATAAAAATTGAAAAAAAAAAAACGAAAATATAACAGAAATCTTTTTTTTTAGTGAATATAAACGTATGAGATATGAATCTTTCAGAAAATATCTATTACACATGTGTATGCAAATGGTGTATATGGCGTAAGAAGAAATAGGATTATATCAAAAACAAAATCATAAATAATTTTTGTGTCACACCTGCACGCAAGCACTATGATTCACATATGTAGATATGAATATGTATGTATATATGTATTAATAAGAAAATTGGTCAATATAGTCAATCTCCATTTTATATACAAGTTCCATTCCCTTTGACATCCTTATTTCTATATTTGAATTTATAATGATTTTAAAAGTATAAATAGGTATATATGAATAAATAGATATGTAGTGTTTGTTCGTGCGCATATATATATATATATATATATATATATATATATATATATATATATATATATATATATACTTGCATATGTCATTAATTATATATAAATATTTGTAGTCATATATAAATATATATGTATATATATATGTCTGTGTGTATAAATATATTTATTTATACATACATATATGTATATATATATATATATGTATATATATATATATATATATATATATATATATATATATATATATATATATATATATATATATATATATATATATATATATATATATATATATATATATATATATATATATATATATTGTCACACATGTGTAGGTATATCCTATGATTTTTCCACACTTCATGGAATATTTAAATTGACACATCCAAACAGAAACCACGGGACACTCTCACTCTCTGTCTCTGTCTCTGTCTCTCTCTCTCTCTCTCTCTCTCACACACACACACACAAACAAACACACACAAAAAAACTGACACTCAAAATCACTATATCTCTATCTATCTTTTTCTCTCACCCCATCTCTCTACACTCACGCACGCACACACACATACACACATACGCACACACACACGCACGCACACACACACACACACATATATATATATATATATATATAATAGTTTCTAAAGATTTTCTTGTCTGGATAAATTCTTCAAATCAATTTTCTGATGTTTTTGTTTAAACATTAAACCTGTGAAGTGATGAATATCTAGGCGATATATATGAAGAATATATAGATACATTCATGCATATTTACTAATCTCTCTCTCTCTCTCTCTCTCTCTCTCTCTCTCTCTATATATATATATATATATATATATATATATATATATATATATATATATATATATATATATGTGTGTGTGTGTGTGTGTGTGTGTGTGTGTGTAGGGCTGTCTGTGTGTGTGGGTTTCTTTTATGTGTGAATTTTAAACAACTGTCCGAATTCTATAAAATTAAATTATATATAAATTTATGCA